CTGGTCTTGAACTCCTGAGCTCAAGCAATCCTCCCATCTCAGCTTCCCAAGTTGCTAGGATTACAGGCATGAGTCATCACACCAGGCTTTAAAGCAGCGGTTCTCAACCTGTGGGTCACTATCCATAGGAACTGTATTGTTTTTTTGTTTGAGCAGAATCTCAGTTTGTCCACCTGGATAGAATGCTATGGTGTCCTACCTCGTAACAAGATAGGGTCTCATTCTTGCTCAGGCTGGTCTCAAACTTGTGAGCTCAAGCAGTCCACCCACCTCAGCCTCCCAGAGTGATGGGATTACAGGCATAAGCCACCACGCCCAGCCACCCTGCAGTTCTTGTAACTTTGTTTCCTTCCTGGCCAGGACTGAAGCTAAACTGTGAGCCCCAATTCGAAGCTGGGAACCCCACATCTCCTGCCCTCCCTGGTTTCAAGCCAGTGCTCCAAATGTCCCTGCAGAGTTACTCTAACCCAAACCCAGTGTGTGGAAAAAAGCTGCTGCAGGTCCATGACCATCAACTGTGACCCAGCCCCTCTGTCTCCTCACTAGATCAGGGGCCACAATGTGTGTTGCAGAGCCTAGCGATGGGGTGGGGTACAGGGGAGACATCCCACATAACCCCCAGGGTGTTCTGGGAGGTTACCTCTGGCACCTTCCATGGTGAGTCCCATGGGGTGCAACACCAGCCCAGGCTCCCCATAGGCAGGGCAGCAGCTAGGAGGATGGTCTTTGCTGGGCTGGAGCTTTCATGGGAAACAAACCACCTGCTCCAGGCCAGGTGTGGGCCTGAGTGGGCAGAAGGACCCCAGGTGTCTGTGCCTCTAACCCCACGTTCTGCCTCTTGTCTCTTCCAGGGACTTTAAATATGTCGGGGATCGCCCTCAGCAGACTTGCCCAAGAGAGGAAAGCCTGGAGAAAAGACCACCCTTTTGTAAGGAGACGGTTGTTTCTGTGTGCAGCAGAGTGGATAGTCAACCTACATTGAAAGTGGCAGGCCCAGCTGAATAGGCTTGTTCTCTGGCCTCAAGTGAACAAGATGCCCTAGCGCTGATGTGCTCTTTTGGTTGTTTTCTCTCAGGGTTTTGTGGCTGTCCCGACAAAAAATCCCGATGGCACAATGAACCTCATGAACTGGGAGTGCGCCATTCCAGGAAAGAAGGGGGTAAGGGCCACCACTCCCACTTGTTGGTGATTAACAAAAGATTAAGGAGGCAGAACTATTGGGAAAGATTCAGATGCCATTTCTCTATGACACTCACATTTGTCAGGGGTTACAGTCACAGCCAATCCTCAGCTCTGACCTCACCCCACCCCAGGGAACAAGAGGTCTGAAGGTACTGGCAGGGTTGAGGTGACAACGGTAATCCCACAGGGGGGCAGTTTTAACCAAGAAGGAAGCAGGCTGACTATCTGTGGGTGCAGACCTAGGCAGGGCATGCAAGACCCTGTTGTGTGGTTTGGAGCACAGATCCGTGGCAGGCATGGGGAGCGGTCTGAAGTAGGTATCTTCTTAGTCAGGAGGTTACTGCCATGCTGAGGCTCATAGAGCTGGGTGTGCAGTGTGAACCAGCCTGAGCAGAAAGATGTTCTGGAGAGCCTGCTAGTCACAGGCCACTGTGGCCACCTTGGACCCTGCTTAAGGGCCCAGGCATCCTTCACATGCAGGCATTGTCTCCAGACAGGACAGCTCTTCCTTGCTGACCTTTGAAAAAGGCGTCTGGGTTATGCCTGGCACCCAGATAGCACCACCTCTTCTCACACGTGGTTTGGGTTTGTCATCTGTTTGGGGCTCTGTTCAGGGTCCAAGTAGGCCATCCTTGCCCCTTGTGTTAAGGTGAGGCAGATGCACCATTGCTGTCCCCTTTCCCTGAGGGACATTGGAAGGAGTGTCAGACTGTGGAGCAGCAGGGGTCCAGGCCAGAGGGTGGGGCCTGGCATAATGTCCCTGGGAAAAGGGAGCACAACAGCTCCCCCCTGCGTGTTCTAGCCTCTCAAAAGACCGACCTATCTCTGAAGCCAGCTCCTGCCCTGAGAGGGCTCTTTCTGGCGGCTCACTTTCTGGGACTGCTCCTTGGGGGGGGGCATTCTGGACTATAAGACATTTGAGAAGGCCCCCCAGCATCCTGGTGGTCCTGGGTGTTGTGCAGCAAAAGCAAGTCCTTTTCTAGTAGGATCATAGCAGGCAAATGGCATACCTCATCATAGTTTCTTCTCCCGCAGACTCCGTGGGAAGGAGGTTTGTTCAAGCTGCGGATGCTCTTCAAAGATGATTACCCATCCTCACCTCCAAAATGTAAGTAAAAGCACGGTTGGGCATCCTGGCTGTGTCACTACTCTGTCCGGGGAGGCACAAGTGGTTCTGGGAGGAGATAACCGGCCTTGCATCCCAGCCTCAAACCTTACTCCTAGGCTCGGCACCTGTGGCTCAAGTGGCTAAGGCTCCAGCCACATACACCTAAGGTGGCGGGTTCAAATCCAGCCCAGGCCCACCAAAACAACAATGACAGCTGCAACCCCAAAATAGTCAGGCATTGTGGTGGGCGCCTGTGGTCCTAGCTACTTGGGAAGCTGAGGCAAGAGAATCGCTTGAGCCCAGAAGTTAGAGGTTGCTATGAGCTGTGATGCCACGGCACTCTACCCAGGGGAATAGCTTGAGGCTCTGTCTCAAAAAAAAAAAAAAAAAACCTTACTCCTAGCTTAGGTTGGAGGTTTGAGTCTGTTTCCAGCCCCAGGGAGGTGGGTGGTGCTTATAATAAGTAGACTCAGTCTCAGATCCCAGCTGAGCCCCAGTAGGATCCCAGGCCAACGCTGCTTGGACCTTTAGTGGTGGTTGATGATGAAACCATGGACCTGGAACCCACAACCCTGGACAGGACAGACGTGTAAAAGGACCACTGTTGTTGCCCTCTGAGGGTTTGTTTTGCCCTGACCTGTTCCTCCCTGCTTGTCATCTGTTAAACTTCATATCCAACTTGTGGCTGCATCTGCACCCTCAGAAGTGGGAGGGAAGGGCTGAGGCCATGTTTGGAATAGTGGCTGCAGCTAAATAATGGTCTGAATGCAATTTAGGAAAACTCAGGAGGGGGGCAGTAAGCCTCCACCCTCTTATAGCTAGAAATCAACAGCAGTGGTTAGATAACTAGTCAACATGTTCCAGGTACCTAGAAGAGCACCTGGCCTGGGTGAGGCCAAGGCTGAGTGTGATTCCTTGCTGAGGTGATTGGTGGGTCACAGCAGAAGGATGTTTCCACTGTGGTGGCAGTTCCCATAAGGTGAAGTCTGTCAGTTGGATAACACTATGATGGAGACGGGTTTCACTTTCAGCTGCCCTTTGCTGTTTGAATTTCTTTTGCTACATAGAGGTATTGCTTTAATTAAGAGGAAAATGTAAGAATGGGACAAGCAAAGCTGCTTTCACTGCTTCTGCTTAGTGACTGGAATCCAAGCAAGTTCAGCAAGGCAAGGGAAAGAAACCTCTCGGACTATTGTGAAAGGTAGGCCTGTGCAGACACACCGTCCCTTAAGGTTACTGTACACATATAAGAAGTGAATATATAGAACTATTTTCATATCATTTCAACAAAGGAAAGTTTTGAAACTATACTATTTAAAATAGCATCATATCTCTTGGAATAACTCGAACAAAAGATTGGTTCAAGGGCTCTATACTGGAAACAAGAACATTTCTGATAGAGGTCAGTGCCAGCCCAAGCTTGCCACACGTCATTTGGAAGATGGAACGTTATATATATGTTGGTTCTCTGAGCTCATTCACAGGTCCTGAGTCAGTCAAGCAGACTCAGAGAGATTCAGATGCTACTCTGTGTGGCAGTGTTTGGAAATGCAAAGGGCAAGGCCAGCTATGGCCCAGGGAGAGAACCCAAACCATGAGTGGGGTGGGACATGGTGATTGAGACACTCTGGGGTTGGTGTGGAGACGGAGGCAGCCTGCAAAGCAGAGCATCCAGAAGGGCGTGCATGTGCAGTGGCATGGATGTGATAGGACCGGCCCAGTGGGATATCCCCATAGAAGAAGAGAAAACTTAGTTTCTTCCCACCATAGACAGTTGCCTTCTGGATGGACGATGGTGCCCACTGGGAAGAGGAACGGTGAGCTTTTGGAAGAACACTCAGGAAGAATCCTCCTTGGGATAGGCATTGATTTCCTAACAAGGGAAAACAGAAAGTGCTAACCATAGGGTGCAATTGACCATTTGAACTGCATTGAAGGGAAGAATATATTTTCATCAAAAGGCACCTGTGAGGGGAAAGAGGAAAGGTAAATATATATGCGTCTCAGCACTTCCCTTGACTTACCAAGAGCTCCTGGGAATCTATCAAGAAAAGATCAACTACCATGACACCAAACAGTGCTTCCCGGAAGAGGCCGTCCACCTGGCTGTTAAGGACAGGGAAGGACATCTGACTTCATCATCAGGGAATGGAGGAGCCCTAGCAGGACTCTTAATACACTGCACAAGAGCAGACAGTGTAGGGCAGTGGGAGTACTCACACTTACCAGAGAATATAAGTTTGGGACACTTGTCTTTGGAAAGCTATCTGCTGAAGTAAACTTAATGCTTATAATTTATGTCTACTGCAGGACCTAGAAGTTCTGCTATAGTGAATAAACACTTGGACACACACGTGTCCCACAAAGACACAGGTGTGCTTGTGGCAGCCTCATTTGTGATAGCCAAGAGCTGGATACAGCCCACATGTCAGGAATAGAAGAATGGGGACTAGTGTACAGAGCCTGAGTGCACAGCAGATCTAAAAACTTAGAAGTCAAGAGGTGACAACTGCATTTGGAGGGAAGCCAGCGAGTGGCTGGGCAGGGGTGGGGGCTGTATACTTTCCCGTGTGGGGGTTATTAGCAGAAGAAACCAGATTGATAAATCAGAGTAAATTAGAATTAGGCACTTGTGTTCACCAGAGGATATAATGAAAAGAGCAAAAAAGCAAGCCCGGAGTGGGAAAAGGCGTTTGCAAGACATACAACTGACAGAGGACTTTGTCTAGGATACATAAAGAGCTTGTGCAAGCCAGAGGGAAGATGGGCAGGGGACTTACACAAGCTCTCTCCAGGGGAGCAACCTGGGACTGGCAGTGCATGGAGGAACCCACACTCAACAATCGCCAAGAGACGCGGTTGGACTCAATCCACAGGCAGCCATGGAACACCTAAAATACCACTAAAATTCGTGGCTGGCCCCACCTGGTGTCAGTGAAGCTTGGAGGTAGCAGGAGCTTACAGGCCTGGAAACTGGCAGTGACAGCTTAAGTTTAACATTGATGCCTCACAACCTAGCATATTCGCATGGAAACACACATGTATGCAGGGCTCCCATTCAGGGGTCATTCCCTGTGAGCCCCTACAGGACAGTGGGCAAACCATGGTTATCCCTCACCATGGACTCACATGGCCTTGTCAAAACAAGGAATACCTTGTGGACAGTGCCATGGTGTATAAAGTCCTGGCAGTCACATACAGTGCTGGCAGTGGGCGCTTTGTCCCTCTGGGAGCTGTGTGTATCAGTGGGTGTGCTTGACGATTCATCCAGCTTTGCTGGACTTGCTGTGCTTTTTTAAGTGTGATGATTATAAATAAAGAGAAAGGGCCAGGCGAGGTGGCTCACGCCTATAACTGTAGCACTCTGGGACGCTGAGGCGGGTGGATCGCTTGAGCTCAGGAATTTGAGATCAACCTGAGCAAGACCCCAACTATAAAAATAGCTGGATACTATGGCAGGTGCCTGTAGTTCCAGCTAGTTGGGAGGCTTAGGCGGGAGGATCGCTCAAGCCTGAGAGTTTGAGGTAGCTGTGAGCTATCTATGGCTGTGAAACTCTATCCAGAGCGACAGCATGAGACTCTTGTCTCAAAACAAAATATAAATAAAGAGAAAGGAGGAGAAATGTCCAGATAAAAGAAGTGTCCTAAAATGCCAACTGTGGTGGTAGTCCCTGAGTGGGATTGCTAATGGCAGTTTTTCTGCTCTTTCATAAAGAATCCAGGGTCTTAAGAGCCTATGGTTTGGGGGATGGAATGGTCTGTCTCCAGGGTCCTCTGCATGGCTCTGCTGCCCATCCTCCCTGGGCCCACCTAGCTGTAAGAGATGCAGGGACAGCCACAAGTGTCACTGGCCACCCTGTGTGGTCTATGTCCTCTGACCGCCTGGCTGTGCTGGAAAGAGACATGGCCTTGTGTCTCAGCTGGGCCTGTTGTGCATCTCAGACTTTGTTCCCCACTGTTACACAGTGTGTGCTTGTTCTGCTTCCTGTCACCTTGTGACTTATTTCTTTTTTTTAAAGTTCTTGGTCATATACCTGGCTGCCTGCCAGGTGTCCCAGCATGAGGATGGGGCAACTTGAGGGGGTTGTTACTGTACAGGACTGCAGTTGCCCCCCCAAAAGCATTTTCTTTCCTCAACCTCCAGGTAAATTTGAACCACCATTATTTCACCCAAACGTGTACCCTTCAGGCACGGTGTGTCTGTCCATCCTGGAGGAGGACAAGGACTGGAGGCCAGCCATCACAATTAAACAGGTATGGGCCCCACAGGCCCCTGCAGGGCAGGCGGGTTGGCAGCCTCCACAGCCAAGTCTGATGTCTTGAGGAGCCCCCATCATGCTCCTGACACCAATTTTGTGTGTGTGTGTCTGTCTCTCATGCAGATCTTATTAGGAATACAGGAACTTCTAAATGAACCAAATATCCAAGACCCAGCTCAAGCAGAAGCCTACACGATTTACTGGTTAGTAGCAACTGGTCCTGTGTAGGCCATTGGGGGAGGGGGATACAAGCTTACATGGCTACAGGGTGGCCCTGTGGAAGGAAAGTCCAGGACTGGACAAGTGCATGTTGTATACAGGCGTTGCTGTGAGCAAGAGGGAAGGTGAATAGGGTTTTCATGGCCACTGCCCAGGTGTGCTATGGCCAGGCTGATCCTGTGTCAGCTTCACAGGGAAGGCCCTTGAGCACCAGGGTGGGAAGCCATGCTAAGGGGCATGTCCTGTGGGCCCTCCCACTGCTGCTCATGGCCTATTCCCCCTGTCCTGCTGCTCCTGTGGTAGGTGAGGCCCAACCCACCTCAGTGGTGCTCAAGGCTCAGTGGGAACCTCACATGGACCTTAGGAGGTGCTGCTACGGCCAGGGTGTCCCTGTGGTCCTCCCCCACCCATGCCAAGGAAGAGAGCCTGGCATAAGTCAGCACTTGAATGGTTAACCTGGTGCCAGGGAGAGACCCCACACCTGCAGTGTCTGGATCCCTTGGCATTACCCGCCAGCCTGGTCTGAGGGGTCCACAAAAAGCTAGGTTGGCAGATCTGATTTTATGCTCCATCTGCAGCATTCAGAAACTACCCAGTATGGGTCCCTGCTCCTCTACGGAACAGGCTGGAGCGCTTTCTGGAGACAGTCTTGGGTTCCACATGGTCAGGACCCAGAGGGGCTTGCAGGACAGCTATCCCACTCTCAGGCTTACCTAGTAGGCCATGGGACCAGCCCATCCCACCTGGATAGCAGACCTGTGCCTTCCAAGGGGCTCGTCCTGAACTGGAGCTGGTCAGGAGGGAGGACTGAGGCAAGAGTGGTCATCATGAGAGATGCATTTCTCCTCAGGTTCATGCCTTGGCTGAGCTGCTGGTGAGGAGCCCTCCCTGGTGGCTCAGGAAGCTCAGAAGCCCAAGTATAGCAGCTCTGGCCCCAGCCCAGCTTCCTTGAGGGCCAACTTTGATCAGTCCCTTTGCCCCTGCTCGGTTGGCTGAGCTGCCACTAAGCAGAGTGAGCCTAGCGGGAAGTGGCAGACTCCCTCCCTATGCTGTTGCCTGCTATGCGCTGACCATTGTGGGAGGCACGTTTGTTCCACACAGGAGAGTGTGGCAGGGCCTCCTGCAGACGGTTGGCTCTCATGGCTACTTACCCTGGCCAGCATGCTTATGAGACAGCAACAGAGCTGGTGGCTCCAAAGAGACCAAGTGGCCCTTGAGGCAGAGGCGCTCCCCTGTCTGGCCCTCAGGTGTGCCTCAGTGGCTGTGGTCTGTTTGGTCTCCATTTTGCTGACCTCAGGCCATGCTGTAATAACTGCTCTGCACCAGCAGGTCCCAGCTGTGTGACTTCATGGCCCTGCATCCCCTGGGCTCACTGCCTGCTGGACTACACCACTTGTTTTCACTTAAACAAAATGTTCTTTCTCCTGCAAATGTCTGTGTTAAATGTACTTGCTGTAGAGCATGCTCAAGAGCCCGGTCCCTCTGTCATCCTGCTTCTGAAGACCTGGGCCATCTTCTTGCCTTGGCAGGTGCTCTGTCCTTAGGCCACACTCTGTAAGGGCAGTGCTGGGGCTTGGCTGCTCCTCTGGTTCCTTCTAGAACCTGCCCAGCTCAGCTTCTCTGCCCTGGGCCTGCCTGGTGGCCTGAGCTGCACGTGGGGTTAGGAGCAGGGTCTGGGGTGGGTGGTGCTGGGTGGTGCCCTGGTCCCAGAAGTTCAAGGGCCAGAACTGCTTCACCCACAGTTCTGGCCCTTGGCCCTGACCCCATGTCCCAGGATTGGTGTGCGGTTCTGCCCTCACTCCTCTGCACTGGCAGACAAGGCCCTTCAGAGTCTGCTCTCACCTCAGAGCCTTCTGTCTATATGGTCGACCCTCTTGTCCTTTAACCCTGGTGCCTTTGCAGACCCAGGCCTGGGGTGCAGGTGACCACAGTGTGCCATCTAGGGGAGGGCATTGCTTTGGTTAAGAGCAGTTTGGCTTCTTAGGCGCTTTGAACACATGCAGGGACATGCCAGGCCTGCTTGGAGCTGTATGAATGTGCAGCTGAGGAGCTGCACCCCTGCTGCAGTACCAACCACTCACCACTGGGGCTCTGCACATCGTCCCTGGCAGCTGTTGTCAGGCTGAGCCTCATGCTGAGGTCCAGGTCTGGTCTTATTACCCGGCAAAAGGCAGGGGCTGAGCACCTCCTGACTCAGCCGCCTCACACTTCTTTGCCTCTGGGGCTGAAGGCTTAGTGGGAAATCCTCTACTTTGGGAATTAGGAGCAGTTGACTTTTTTTGTTTGTTTTTGTTGCGACAGAGTCTCACTTTGTCACCCTCTACAGTAGAGTGCTGTGGCATCATAGCTCACAGCAACCTCATGGGCTCAAGCGAGTCTGTTCCCCTCAACCTCCCAAGTAGCCGGAATTACAGGCACCTGCCACAAAGCCTGACTATTTTTAGAGACGGGATCTCACTCAGACCTGTGAGCTCAGGTAGTCCACCTACCTCGGCCTCCCAGAGTGCTAGGATTACAGGTGTGAGCCACTGAGTCCAGCCAATTGATGTTTTTAAAGTCAACAGTGTCTCAGAAGAAACCACTGAAGGCCAGTTGAGAACGCAGACTCAGGTTATAGGGCCCCTCTGGTCCTGAGCAGCCTCGTTGCCCAGTGGGTCACTGTCTGAGAGGCTCCTGCTCCTTCCTCTATCACTATGCCCACCAGACATGGCCTCCTTTCCTCTCTGCTGCCCGCTGGGCGTGTCTCAGTGGCCCTTGGGCTCTGCCATTGCACACAACTCCCTGGGCAACTGCTTTGGGTCACTGTGTCTGAGGCTGCTGCCCCTTCCTCTATCACCGTGTCCACCAGACATGGCCTCCTTTCCTCCCTGTTGCCCTCTGGTCCTGTCTCAGCAGCCCTTGGGCTTTGCCATCACACACGACTCCCTGGGCAGCTGCTTTCTGTCATGGTTGGTGCTCCAGCCACTGGCCCCAGCTTCCTGAGCAAGGCCTCTGGCCAGTACAGGTCCACTGCTCAAATTTCTAATGTGTCTCTTCTCTTTTGACCTCCTCAGCCAAAACAGAGTGGAGTATGAGAAAAGGGTTCGAGCACAAGCTAAGAAGTTCGCACCCTCATAAACAGCGGCCTGTGGCATCGCAAAAAGGAAGGGATTGGTTTGGCAAGAACTTGTTTACAACATTTTTGGAAATCTAAAGTTGCTCCGTACAATTACTAGTCACCTGGGGAGGGTTGGGTGGGTGCCATCTTCCATTGCCGCCACGGGGACACAGTTCTTGATTCGCTGAATTGCCCAGATTTTCATACAGGGTCTCTTCCTTCAGTCTTTTGTATTTTTGATTGTTATGTAAAACTTGCTTTTATTTTAATATTGATGTCAGTATTTCAACTGCTGTAAAATGATAAACTTTTATACTTGGATAAGTTCCTGGAGCTAGCTCCCTCTCTGGTGCAGGCATGCTTCACACCATAGGGCTGCACTTGGCCTCCCGCTGGCTGCGTGGAAAACAAAATCACACTAGTCCCTCCCTCCACCTTCGTTCTCTTCAGAATCTGGGTTGTATTGCTTTTGAGCCTCAGATCCAAAGCCAGCCAGCATCTGATTCGCATCACTTCCTTTGTGTTTATATGGCGTTTTGTCTGTGTTGCTGTTTAGAGTAAATAAACTGTTTATATAAAGGTTTTTGTTGCATTATTGTCATTAAAAATGTGAGGAGGCCCAGGAGTGCCCTCCCCCAAGCGCAGGCCTCAGAGCACCAGCCTCAGCCTTGTGGGCCAGGGCCAGGCCAGCGATGAGCATGTCACACTGGCTGGGTTTCCAGATGTACCCAGGCCCTGTGTGACTCTCTTGTCCTGGTTCCTTGTAAATAGGACTATGTACACAGCTGGCTTGAGGCTTCTGTTCTCCCCAGCCCAGCCCGTTGTAAAGTATTAGACAGTTCAGATCAGGCTGAGTTGGAACTGGTTTTAAGACCCTTGTGATGCATGTGGGTCAGAAGCTGATGTCTGCAGCATCAGGCTCCAAGGGGATGCAGTGAAGCCAAGTTGGGACCACTGGCAGGGGGTGCACATGCTGTGGTGGCCAGGCAGCAGCGATAGAGCCTTGCTCATGGACACAGTGGCATCTGCCCCTATCCTGTCTGTGCTGTATGCCCTACCCAGGGGCAGCCGTTTGCCTCCACATGCCGTTCCCCACATCTTGGGATCCCCAGAAGCGGCAGGTGGATGGGCCCTTGGTGGTATCTTGACCCCAGAACTTTTAAGGTACCACTGTCTGTAGTCCTTATCCTGAGGCTTTCTGAGCCCAGGGCGCAGCCTCAAGCCTAGATGTTCTGCAGGATGGCACAGTTGGGGGTCCAGAGAGGCAGGGCCCAGCACTCCTACCCTCTGACCTGGCCCCCAGCACAGCGAGTAGGGCATTTATCAGATGTGCTCTGGAGCCTACCGCCTAGGTACCCTCACTGTTAGAGCGGGGTGCCTGTAAGCTCAGGCACAGACCAAGGGCCCCAAAGGCTTAAGGAGTACAGAGAGGGCTGGTCATGGGCCCCAGGAGGAAGAGGCTTGGTGTTGCTCTGGTCCACATAGGACCCCAGCTGCCAGCCAGGAATCTATCTCCAATGTTAGAGGTGACTTCGGAAGGCCCTAGAGCTGGCAGCACTGGTGGCTCTGAGGTTTGAGTGCCTTGATTGCTTTCTCAGCTGTACGTTTTGTCGGGTTGCTAAGCTCTCGGTTTGATATTTGCAACTTATAACTCAGAGGGCCTTACCTGGGGATTCAGCCAAGTGTGTCCTTGTAGCTGCTCCGGAAAGTCGTCTTTTGTAATGGCTGAACTACATTTAGCATTAGTTACACCTGTATATGGTTAATGTATATGAAAATTCAATATATTTTATAGTTAAAGTATCCTAAAGTAATTGATGTTTCTAGCAAACTGTAGTGACTTCAGCTAATGAAATGTTTCCTTTGTACCACAGTCCTGGGCTTAGCAAAGATGTGAATCTTGTAACTTGAGCACTCTGGAATGTGACCCCGTGGCTAATGTCAGGGATAGAGTGTGTTCTCAGCATAGCACCTCGGGATTGGTCAGGAATTGTGGACAATAGATTAACCACTGTATCTAAGAATCCTCAAATTAAAACGTTTCCACAATCTGTAGCCTGCGGGGTGTGTCCTTTTCTGCCCTGTCCCTGTCCTCCCTTAGCTATGGGGGTGGCAGACCCTCACCAGTACCACCCCACTCTGTTCTGTGCTATGCTGCCCTGCCTAGGGGGGCTGCCTCACTTTCACCTCCATCACCCAGCATCAGACCCTCCATGGCCAAAGATGTCCCTCCCTTGAACCTAAGTGGGGTCCCCTGCACCTGCCTGGCTCCCTAGGACCTGGCTGCCCAAGGTGGGGAATCCCCCCTCAGAAAGCAGGGATACCAGGTGTGTGGCAGTGCTCTACTTGGCATCTCCAGAGGCACCTGGGACTGTGTGACTGAGGAGTCATTCTGTGGCCTCAGGGGTTGGGCTGACCACACTTCACTCTGGCTTAAGGGTGGGTGTCCCAGGGCCTGCTTCTGCGCAGGAAGGCATTCTGCCTTTGCCTTTATGGAGAGTGTAGGCGCCTACAGCTGCCAGCTCTGCTTGGGCCCTCAGCAAAGAGGCAGAAGCAGGCCCTGCTGGGAAGGGGACTTAGGCACACCCACCCAGCCTTGGGGCTGGCTGGGCTGAAGGAGGCAAGGAGACCTGACCATAACATGGAAATGTTGGCTCCTGGCATGCCCCCCCACAACTCCCCATGGCCCCTTTACCCTTCTCAACTGTCCAGCTGGGGCACTTGTCCATCCATCCACAGAGGCCCCTTGGGCTCCCTAGTAAGCCCCAGGCACAACCATCACTCCTGGGAGCTGCTGATGGAAACCTCTGACTTGTGGTTGTCATGACAACGAGTTGCCAGGTTGGAAGGCCTGAGCACTGACTTGGACTGGCTGGAACCGGTCTGAGCTAGCTGGGGGGTGGGAGGAGCAAAGGGTGCTAGCTTTCAGGATGTCTTGCCTTTTGCTCAGGAAACAGTGCCTGCCCCATCTGAGGGATCCTAACTATGGACATTTAGTGGGGAAGGACAGTAGCCCAGCCCAACCCAAAGACTTTTGTGAAGTAACAAGCAGGCCTGGGCTCCTCTCTCACTGGGCCTCTGCCCATCCCTGCAAAGCCGAGTAAACCCTCCCCAGAAAGCAGGCAGGGCCCCACCCCAGGAGGTTGTTCTGCCTTTACCTTTATGGAGGACGAGGGCACATACAGCTGCCAGCTCTGCTTGGGCCCCACCAAAGAGTGAGGGCAGAAGCAACCCCTGTTGGGAATGGGGCCTTGGCACACTCAAGCCAGAGCCACCAGGAAGGAGGCACTGGTGACCATGCTGCACACTGGTCATCCCTTCACCCAGGCCTCAAAGACAATAGGAGCCAGCTTGCCTGCTGGGCTCTCCCACCATTGGCCTTTGTTTCAGGGTCTGGCAGGAGGCTGTTCTGGGACCACCTTTCTGCCCCTGCTCCACCCTGGGTTTCACAAACCTCAGGCCAGCAGTGCAGCAAGACCCAAGGGCACTTCTGCCTATCTCAAGATGGTCATCTTCAGCCAGCTCCTACTGGTACATGGAGCCCAGAGTGAATGTCTTAGGCAAGAGATCAGTCCTGGGCAAGGACCTCCTACCCAGTGCCCCTCCCTTCTGCAGGTAGATATACCCTATGGGCATGCCAAGTGAGTTCCTGCTGTCCTTGGGGTCCTCCAACCTGGGAGGGACAGGTCCTGGCTGGCCAGAGTCCCTGGGCTCTAACCTCACCAGTTCTGGGTGCCCCACCCATCCCCCTTTCCCATGCCCTCTGCAGGAATTGAGAGGCAGCTGGGGAGCAAAGAACAGGGGAGGAGCTTGGTGGGAGACTGTGCCTGCAATTCTGAGGACTACCACCAGTGGACGGTGGTGCAGGACTTCCAGCCCTGGTGGACATCTGCCTCTCTGAGCTGCCCCTGCTTGGGCACTTGAGCATTGTGGGCACATTTCTCCTGGCCCTATCTTGCCAAAACCTTCCAGCCCAAAGCCCTGAGTGTGTGAACATAGCCAGGCTTGGAAAGTGGCTTTTCTCAGCTTTGCACAAGCAGTCCCTAACCACTGACACACCTCCCTATCCTATCCCTATCCTCCAGAGCAGAGCAGCTGTAAGGACGTGGATCTGAGAGCAGATGGGTCAGGGTGACTCCTCAGAGCAAGGACTCTGGCTCAGATGCAGGGTTGGTAGGCACCCACCCTCTTGTCCTCTCTCCTGGCACTAGATCACACACAAAGACTGGCTTCCACCCCTAAACTACAGGTGGAGAACCTGAGTCACTGGAGGGACTGGGGCTCACAGGCTGGCTGACACTTGCTAAGATCAGCCCAGGAGGCACTACTGTTATCCCCATTTTATGGATGGAGAGATTGAGGCATGGGGCAGTGGATGGGTGTGCTGAGGCAGGGATGAGCAGAGAGGGCAGGGGATCAGACCCAGGTCAGCCTGATTTCATGCTCAGACCAATCAGGGGAGAATGAAGTGTGACCCAGGGGAGAATGAAGGGCGACCCAGGGGAGAATGAAGGGCGACCCAGGGGAGAATGAAGGGCTTGGTCACCAAGTGAGCCAAAGCTCATTCATACAACACCCACCACACACACACTCCTGAATGTCTGTGGAGAAAAGAGCCCTAGAGATTATTCTATCCTGGGAAAACCAAGGGCCAAGGCTGGGTTTGGGGTCCACCTTGTTCCTCTGTGGCTCCAGACAAGCCCTTCCCATCTATGGACCTGTTTGTCTACCAGTAAAAGAGGGTGGTGAGAGGTCTCCAAGGGCCCGCCCATCCCCTAACAGACTGTGGTGTTAGTCTTGAGGTTGGTTCTCCACATGGGAGGGCCATGCAGGTGCCCCCTTCTCTGCAGCCTGGCAGCTGCCCCTCCTAACTTCCTGTTTACAGCATCTGCGGTCTTATTCCTTCACCCCAAAGCCACTGTGGTCACCATGGCAACCAGGTCCACCGTTTGTTCCAACAGGTTGGCAGAACCTGACGCAAAACTGCAGAGGTAGGAGGCACTGGCTCCAGGATCCTGGCTCAGGACCCACCCCCTTGGGAGGGATATTGCTATCCCAGCCCTGACTCCCCTCCACTGCTAAGGGACACAGGGTCAGCTCCCTTCCCCTTACCTAGCTGTGCTGGGTCAGGATGGAGGCAGGACCTGGGGGCTGCATGTCCTGAAGGAGAGCCCTCCCTGCTATCCTGTCCCCACCTCCCTCATCCACTTCCTCTGTCCTCATCCTGAAGACAGGCATGGGCTATGCAGGGATGTGAAGCCCCAGCACCATTACAGTCTGCCCCATCCTGGGTGAGGGGAACAGTCCCCTGTATTCTCCCTGGGTTGGGAACAGTGGCTGTGCTCCTTCTCCCAGCACCTCTCCCAGGGCTCAGGAGGCAGCAGCTGGGGCAAGGCCCAGAAATGAAGGTACATTTACTCTCAGAAAACTTGATCCAAGCAAGGGACCCTGCATCAGAAGCCTGTCTGGCCTCTGGCCCCATGAAAGTGGACCACCCTTGCCTCTGGGCCTTAGCCAGAGTGGGCTCCAGGCCTTCTGCTCCTCACCCTAGCTAGGGTCCCACAAATAGGGTCGGGCCCTCCAGAGTGAAAACTTCTTCAAAGTCTAATCCTCCTAGCTCCTAAGTGCTGTGTGCAAGTGTCCACCTGTACCCAGCCAGGTTCAGAGCCATGATCTACTGCCTCTTTGAACCTTTGACATGATTGAGAACCTCTGGGGGTGCCACAGGACAGAGCTTAGCACTGTGGCCTTCCAAGTCTGGGCCCAAGTGAGAGATGGTTACCCCTACCCTGGGAAGGAGCCCGCGAGTCCAGTTCAGAAGGGGATTCCAGCTGCAACAACTTGGCCTCGGGGACCTCACCAAAGCTATTGGAACGATAACCTTAACAAGTAACCGGGTTGTCAAGGGTGTCCGCTGCCCCCCTGCAGAGAAAGCGATCAGGACCGCGGTGGCAGGGCCCCCAGATGCAGATCGCGCCAAGTTGGTGCAGAGACAGAGCTTAGACTGGGAAGACGACTCCGGAGATGGCTGCGCAGCCCTTCGAGAAAAGTCTACGCTGAGGCCTGGCGCGTCATGTTCGGGTCTGGTGACCGGCCCTGTGGGGGCCCCGGGGAGGAGACCCCACCGACAATGCCCCGCCCAGCCCCCCTCCCGCATCAGGAAGGAGCGCGCAGCCACACGAGGTTCCAGACGCGGAGCCGAACCGTCTCCCCTCTCCGTGACCATCCGAGAGTCAACTGACGGCCCCGTGCTGCCCTGAACCCCGGAAAGGGGGCTTCCCTTGCGGACCCCAGGCGGATAGAGCGGGGTGGGGGAGCGGCAGCGGGCGGGGCGAGCGCCGCCCGACCCCGCCCCCGGTCCGCCCCCGCGCCCCCCGCCCGCCGCAGCCGCGCGGGGCCTCAGCCGCGCGGGGCCGCAGTGCTCAGTCGTCGGCGCGCGCGGCTGCGGGGCGGTCACTGTGCCTCGGCGTTCCAGAGCCCGTGCCGGAGTGCGACGCACCTGGAAGCTCCCCTCCCGGCCCACGGTGAGTGCCTCCGGCTGCAGCCTATACCGTCGGGCCGTCGTCGGGGCTTGGCCGGGCGCCCTCATCAGGACAGACCCACGGACAGCTGGCCGCCGCCACTCCCTTGGGCCGTGGTACCCAGGAGCCAGCGCAGTGCTCGCCACCGACCCTGGGGGGCGCGGGGCAAGTTTCTGAGGCTGTGGGTGGTAGGAAGATCTGGAGGGCGCCCCCTTACCCCTGGGAAAACTGAGGTCGCGCATGCCCTGAGGAGCAGGGCCGCGGGGCATTTCTTCTGCTGCCCCTATCCTTGCTCTCCCTTCCGAGCGGAGCGTGCAGGGGCGGGTGCGGCTGCGGGTCCGCACTGCGGACGGGCAGGGGCAGAGCCAGACGTCCGCGCCGCGGGGCTCCCCGGACCACCGCCCGCCAGGGACCGGGCTTTGACCCAGCGCTTCCCTCCCCAATGGAGGCCGAAGACCAGGGTTGGGTCTTAAGATCCCGGAGACGCTCAGGGCTACCCAGCACCCCTCCCGGGCTTGAGGAGGAAGACACCCCCAGAGCCCGTCTCTCCCACCCTCCCACCAATCCTGGTACTGTGCACCTTAGTCCTGAAATCCGCTGGCGCAAGCTCTGCGCGTTGCCTTCCTGCCCTGCCTGCCACCAGTTAATTTCAGTGTCACTCCCAGGGCTGGGGGCTCTGGGAAGGGCGTAAAAATTATACACACCAAACCAGTTCCCAAACTCCTCCTGGACCGCCTGCTCTCCGGTTGGAGAGAGACCCTGATAGAACTGGGAGGAGGAGGCAAGGTTCCCGCGGGTCACCACGAGAGAGAACTAGAAGTGGGCAGGGAGGTGGCAGCGGAGTCAGGTGAGTAGTGACAGGTGAGAGGACTGAGAAAGAAGGCACCCGACGTCCCTGTCACCTGTATCCCTGCCAAGAGCCACCAGCTGGCTTCCTGCTGCTCTCTGGCCTCAGGAGCACACTTGTTAAAATGCGAATGCAGGTTATTAGAGTGGGATGAGACCCCAAGGAGCCTCACTGGGAGGAGCTTGCCAAAGGTCCTGCACTGTGCAGCAACCATCAGGGGGTCAGTGAGATCCCAGGAAGATACCAGCAGGAAGTCCCCAACATCTGGTGAAAGCGACCAGGAGGGATTTGAGTGGGGAAGAGGAGCAAAACGCGAGGCCTAAGGAAGACCAAGAGGGAGCCATCCACAGCCAGTATGGGGGAGGGGAATACTCACCCACCCCCACCCAGGATGGTGTAGCAGTCCTCCTGCCCCCAAGAGGTGCTCTGCAGGTGGAAACTAGGAAGGCTGACCAAACCCCTCAGCTCAGCTGTCCCCAGATTCATCCACCTCAGAGCCATCCAAGCCCTCAAATGCCCTGGCAGGAGACAGTTAGCTTAGGTTCTGGTTTTTTGTTTTTGTTTTTTTGTGGGTTTTTGAAACCGAATCTCACTTTGTTGCTCTGGGCAGAATGCTGTGGTGTCACAACTGACAGCAACCTCAAACTCTTGGGCTCAAGTGATTCTCTTACCTCAGCCTATCAAGTAGCTGGGATTACAGATGCCTGCTACAATACCCAGCTATTTTTAAAAACAGGATCTCACTTTTTCTCAGGCTGTCTCAAACTCCTGAGATCAAGCTATCCACCTGCCTCAACCTCCCAGAGTGCTAGTATGACAGGTGTGAGCCAATGCACCTGGCACTTGTGTTCTGGGTTTGAATCCTGGTGCTAGGCAATCACCAGTCGTGGGATATGAAATAGGACATGTCATCTGCTTTGTAAAATGTTATTCCCTGTTCAGCCCAGGTCTGGGGACAGCCAGAGAATGAGCCACAGAATCAGGTGTGGTTTGGCCCAGTGCTGACCCTTACTCTGGTCATTGATAGATGGTCGGGGTGTCCAGGCCTGAGCAGGGTATGGGTACATCCTGCTCCACGCTTCTGTCCAAGCACAAGAGGCACAAAGATGTGAGAGCCTATGAAGGAGTTACATCCAGGCCCCTGAGGCAGCCAGTGCTTCCCACTCAGTCACAAACGGGAAGCCAGGAAAGGCCCACTGTTCATTGTTCAGGGCAGCTCTGGATGATGTTGCTGGCTAGGACACTGTCAGAGGCCTCTGTGGCAGATGTTACCAGGGCCCAATCTGTGGGGTGCAATGAAGTTATCGCTGCGCAGACAGCCCAGGGGTTCCAGGGTCGGGCACCTCTTTCAGACCCCATGCTAAGCTGTCACTGTTGTCCCTGTCCTGGCGGTGGGCTGAAGGGGGAGGTGCAAGAGCTGCAGTTAAGGTGGCCCAGCTGGACCCCAGGCCTCAGGACATCCCAGGAGCTTAGCATTTAGGCATCACAGAGACCTGGACTTGCTGGCTCTGTGCTGTGGATGGGTTCCTAAGCTAGCCCTCTGAACGCTCACCCAGGAGGGATGAATGAAGCACTTGGCTCCATTGGGCTGCTCTGAGGATAGCCAGAGAGATGCAGGGTGGAAGATGAAGGAGGGCATCTGGACCCCACTTTCTATCTGGAACAATTTGTTCTCAGACACCCCACACACACGTGCCCTGCAGCCCAGCCTCAGCTCCTGCCTCATGTTTGTCTCTGGACCCACAAGCCCCTATAGCCCCTGTCACATGCAGATGCAGCTGGCGGTTGCCCTGACAACAGCTCAAGCAGTGGCTGTTCCACAGGCTTTGGGGGGCTGCGGCAGGGAGTAGCCTCTTTCGCTCAGCTAGAGACAAGAGAGGGCCTGTGACTCACAACTGCCTGGAGAATTCACAACTGGCTTCAGGGCCAATGGCTTCCAGAAGCAATACACCCAAACATTGGAGTTCCCCATCTGTTCCACAGGGAAGGCACTTAAGGGCCTGAAGGAGGTGAGGCCCACAGGGTAAGAGCTGTACACCCTCTCCTATCCTCAGTTCTTGGGTATGGCCAGGTGAAAGCCCCCTAAGCCCAGGGCCCATGGGCTCACTCACTGGCTGGAGCATTAGGGAACAGGATGGGGTGTTACTAAGGGATTCAGACTGAGCTGGGGGACACAGAGCAGGCATGGTGACATGGACCACCACAGACAGACTGGGAGCAGGGAGCTTGCTCAGAATATCAGCTTAGGACTCACCAGTTCCAGGCATGCACAGGCTCAGCCCTGCCCCCAGCTTGATTTGAGGAGGGGGCAGCAAAGGATAGTGACAGAACTGGTGACCAAATATCTTAGGGCTGGTCTGGCACACAGGGTGGGGCAGTCAAACCAGGAGCTCCTGGGCAATTTCAACCTGCCTGGCCTCCATTTCCTTTCTTGCTCAGTGAAAGTGATAGTGGCCCCAGCCATGGTTAGTACCCAGTGCTGGAGGTGCCCTTGGTAGATGGACAAATGGGCACCAGCACGGAAAGAAGACCCACTCCCTGAGGTGGGCTGGGAAGCACAGCATGTGCTACAAGTTGGAGGCCCAAAGGTGAGGGCTGAAGACCAGAGGTGGCCTGGCTGTGGGACAGTTTTCATGGGGGAGGAAGGGATCTCCCTGGGGATAGGGGTGTACAGGGAAGAGGAAGGCATCTGGGCTAGGTGCGTGGAAGAGGGGTTCCAGAGGCCACAGTGTCTCAGCCATCATCCTGCCCTTCCTTCTTGGGGTCTGCAGGGAAAACTGAGCCCCAAGCCTTCCTTGGCACTGACAGAAGGCAGGGAGGTGGGAGGAGAAGGTAAAGGGAGTGTGGCAAGACCAGAGGAAAAGGAAGAAGGGACAGAATAGCCAGAGCTCTGGTGAGAGCCCAGGAAGGGCCCACTGCTAGGGCTGCCCAGGCTGCTGGCACTTGCCTTCTGGGCCAGGACTGAGATTATGCCCCCTCGGCTTCCTAGCCCCCACCCAGGGCTACCAACTTGTTTGATCCAAGCCCTGGCCTCCATGTGGGTTCTGGGCAAAAGGGCCAGGTGGGGGCTGGGCCTTCCAGGGAGCTCCAGGCAGGAGTCTGCTGTGCCCAGGCTGAATTCCTCAGCAAAGTCCACCCTCTGTCCCAGCCTGAACATGGAGGCTGCTCCTGCTGGTCAAGGCAGGTTTGGGAGGGCTCAGTTGCCATGGCAACATGAGGATAATCAAGCAGATGGATCAAGAAGGTGTGAGAGCCACAGCCACTATATCCACCCTCTTGAGGAGAAGGCTTAACTCGATTCAGGTTCTCACTTTTACTGATTGTGAGGAGCAGGCCCTGTTCCTGGGGGACTACCCCACTGCCCTGGAGTGTGCTGACTGGGCCCTATTGACTGCTGCTGTCTTGGGTGGGTAAAGACCCCTGAGCAACCCCCCTCTGTGTCATCCTGGTCACATGAGCAACTGCCCTGGCCACGTGGCTGGGGCCCAGGCTACAGGCTCCCTTGCTATCCAGGTAACAGGAGCCCACAGTGCCTTTCCCACCTATGCTCTTCCCGCCATGGTACCCAATGTCTGGGTGGCCAGCCATTGTTTTGGCCTCTGCATAGAAAGCCTGAGTACCAGGCACCTGTCCGGCCCCAGTGCAGGAAACCCATCCCTCCCCAGTGAAACCCTGGAAGCTCTGAGATGGAGCCTCAGCCCAGAGTGAGACCACCAAGCAGCTTTCATTACCACATCCCCAAAGCTACCCTGCAAGGGACTTGTGACTTGCCAGTTTCCCCCAGTAGATGTGGCTACAGGAACTCTACACCCCTCTGAGTACTGGCACCAGCCAAAGCTGTGGGAGAGCTCTGAGCCTCCACTGGCCTCTGCATGAACAATGCAGGGCAGTGCTCTCTGCCATAGGTCACTGCTTTCTGCCATAGGTCACCGGCCATGTCAACTCTGCAGGAGATCAAGAGCAGCGTGCTCAGGCAGGTGCAGGTGTGCCCATCCTTCCGCCGCAGGGCTGAGCAGGAGCCAGAGAGCACCAATGTTGGCCTGCAGGAGCCTGCCGCAGAGACCTGGTGGGTTCCGGATGGCCCAACTTCACAGGGTTGTGTCCCAGCTGGGTGGGAATCACTGGGAGGCTTGGAACCTGAGGCCCTGGCACACTGGATGGCAATCTGCCCCCACTCCAGACATGCTCAGAGTCATGTGTCTGTGGCTGGGCCCAGGTACCTCAGGTAGGCCAAGAGCTCACCTTGGTCTTTCTCCCAGGAAACCCACGGATGGCGTGGAGTTCTTTGCACAGATGCGCCTCATCCTGAAGAAGGGGGAATGCAGACAGGGCCTGCCATGCCCTGAGGTGAGGATATGCCCCAGCTGCAACCCAGCTGGGGGTGCCATCCTCTATCCTTCCTGGAGCACCCCCCAAAGCACAGCAGCAGGGCCAGTTTCAGAGGCTCTCACCCTGGCATCCCTCATAGGTCCTCTTGCGCAGCAGCTCTCCAGCCCCTGCAGAGCCTGTGGACCCCAACCGTGGCCTGAAAGCCTTGACCAAGGAGGAGGTAAGAGGGAAGTCTGGCCTCAGGGAGGGTCCTCAGCCATTTATGAGCACATACTGTGTACCCAGAATCTTGTGACAGGTGGGCAGCAAAAGTTAGTGGGATGGGTGGGTGAGGAGTGGAGGCCCCCAGGTGCAAAGGGCCCCTGGGTGCACAGGGGCTGGGCATGGCCAGTGGAGGAACTGCCCAGGTCTAGGGCTGGGTACTCGGAGTGGACAGGAGGAGCCCAAGACCCTTCATCATGACAGAGCACTCAGGGCCTGCTCTCCTGTGCAGGAGGAAATGCTTTATGAGGAGGCCTTGTATACGGTCCTGTACCGTGCAGGGACCATGGGTCCTGACCAGGTGGATGACCAAGAGGCCCTGCTGGGCTACCTTCAGCAGGTGAGCCTGTCAGCTTGCTCTGAGGAGGACCAAAACTTCTTCCCCCCATGACCTCTTCCCCTGAAGCCACCCAGCACAGATTGCCTCCCATCTGTGTACAATGCACAAACACACATGTGTACATGCAGCATACAAGCTGACAGAGGCACACAGAAGGCTGGATGGACAACCCAGGGAGACACACACAAAGGACACAGAGATTAGGAAAGATGGATATACAGACTCTCCCAGAAGGATGGGGAAATGGACACATACACCTTCCCTCCTCACCTGTGCTTGTTCTTAATTCTCTGTCCCCTGGCCAGCATACCACGATCCCATATTTCTATGCACACGATGGTGTGCCCCATTTCATGCCCACTGTCCATGGGTGGGACTCAACATTCCTTGGCGCAAACCCTCCAACTGCTTTCCACACAACACAGTAGAGTGGGTTTTCATGACTCCACATGCTATGAGGTCTGAGGTCAGCCTTTCTTGACTGGGGATGAACCTGAGAGTGGCCAGCCTTGCTTCAGTGGTCCTCTGGGCTGGGCCTTCCCACTTGCCTTCCTTCCACAGGTCTTTGGTACCAGCCCCGAGGAACATGCCATGGCCATTGAGCGTGTGAAGGTGGCCAAGGTAAGCCCACTACCTGCCTGGGCAGGGACTGACCAGGGCAGTGCCCTCATGCTAGGGCCTAGGAGTGGTAGGAGCACAAGGCCAGGCCCTGTCATGTCCATGCTGAGCAGGTATCCAGAGAGACAGCTCAGCCCTGCCAGGCCCTTTGTGCCCCTCTACCCACAGGCCCCCACATATGCCCTAAAAGTCTCTGTCATGCGTGCCAAGAACTTGCTGGCAAAAGACCCCAATGGTGAGTGAGGACCTGTGGACCTGGGGAGCCCGGAGGCTGAGGTGCAGGGTCAGGGGCTGAGGCATCTGCCATGTCTCAGGCTTCAGCGACCCCTACTGCATGCTGGGCATCCTGCCTGCCTCGGGAGCCCCACGGGAGCCTAGTGTGCAGAAGGAGCATCGTTTCAGCTTCCGGAAGGGGAGCAAGCGCAGTGGCCCACTGCCAGCCAAATGCATACAGGTCACTGAAGTCAAGAGCAGTACCCTGAACCCTGTTTGGAAGGAGCACTTCCTCTTGTAAGTTCCCCCAGTGATCTGGGTGGCTGAGTGTCCACATGGGGGTGGGTGGCTCCAGAGCCGGGCTGTGCCCAGAGGGTGATGGCTTATAGCTTGCTCCAGGGAACTCTGAGGTGGGAGCTGGTCTTAGGCCCGTTTTCTAGAGGAGCAAATTGAGACCTAAAGAGGGGCATGGTGCCCTGTGGCCATATAGTGCCAACAAGTGACAGTGCCAGGATTTGAGCCCAGGCAGCGCTGGACTTCTCCTGGCACTCCTGGGACCTCCACGAGCATTTCTATTCTCCTTATAGTGAGATTGAGGATGTCAGCACAGACCAGCTGCACCTGGACATCTGGTAAAGGGCCTGGGAGTGGGGCATAGGTCTGGGGGCAGCAGGGAGAACCCCAGGTCAACCTGGGGAGTCCAGACAAGCCTGGTCCTTCCTCCCCACCCCCAGGGATCACGACGATGATGTGTCTCTGGTGGAAGCGTGCAGGAAGCTGAATGAAGTCATTGGCCTGAAGGGCATGAGCAGGTACAGTGGAGGGACCTCTGGTGCCCCAGACCTGTGCCTGCAGCCTAGTCCAAGGACCAACAGTGTGATGTCCATCCTGCTGTGGCCAGGTACTTCAAACAGATTGTCAAGTCAGCCCGTGCAAATGGGACAGCTGGGCCCACCGAAGACCATACTGATGACTTCCTGGGGTGCCTCAACATACCCATCCAGGTGGGTGGGCACAGGAAGGCTGGGGGGCCACACTGTGCAAACATCTGCCAGACACTGGTGGCCCAGCCTTCCTAGGGTATATCCAGCAGCAGTGTTCTGTGGTCCCCAGGAGCCTCCTGGGGCTGCTGGGGCACCTCAAGGGGCAGGGGAACTGCTAGGAGGAGCTTCTTGTGCTTGGCTGCCCACTGCACATTCACTGTGGGTCTATGGCCCATGTTCACACGAGAAGGGATGATGAGGCCCTGGCTGTCCTCACTGGGAGGAAGATGGGGGCGCAGCCTCTCTGGTCTGACCCCTACCTCCCCAGGAGGTTCCTGTGGCTGGTGTCGACCGCTGGTTCAAGCTGGAACCGCGCTCCAGTGCCTCTCGCGTTCAGGGAGACTGCAACCTCGTTCTCAAGCTAATCACCACACAGGTGGGGGGCATTGGCGCTCGCCCTGCACCCCTGCCGGGCATGGGCGGGACTGGTGACCGCAGACTCTGTGTTCCAGAGGGACACGGCCATGAGCCAGAGGGGACGATCGGGCTTCCTGTCCTACTTACTGCTGCTCAGCCGGCTGCTGCGGTTCGAGCACCGAGCAGAGGAGGTAGCTGGCGCCCTTGGGATCCCAAAGCAGGGCTGGGCGGCTCCCTCCCTTCCACCCACACCAAGCCTCTTCCCCCAGCCCAACTCGAGCAGCTGGCACGGTGAGCTCAGCTCGTGCGCAGCCACCATCCTCTGCCTACATGGAGCCCAGAACAACCTATCGCCTTTGCAGTTGGCGGTGCTGTGAGCAAGCAGGAAGGAGGGGAGAGGCTGTTTGAGGAGGGGCATGGGGGAAGTGGTGTGAGCAGGGATTGGGGCAGGAAGAGGTGGTGCCATTAGTGGATGGGGCGTGAGAACCCTGCTGTGAGCAGGCGTGGCAGGGTGGTGGGTGGGGCGCAGCCTAACCAAGGGTCATGCTCTGGTAGACACTGGGAGGTCAGCAGCCGCCACCATCAGAGCTGCACGCTAGATTACGGCTACCTGCTGGGGCTGCTGGAGGATATGCAGGTGCACTGGGAGGAGGCAGCCTCGCTGCCCCAGGAGCAGGTGGGCTCAGCCACTAGCTTACTAGCTTTTAATGGAGGGAGTACTGTGGGCTGTACCTGGGTGCAGGGGCTCAGCAAGAGTCCCACCCTCATGGGGCTGAGAACTAGTGGACAAACTGCCTGGTATGGGAGAGAGCAAGCTATTTACAGTAAGGAGATGGGAGAGGGCAGCTGTAGCCTTCAGATGGGGCTATGGGTACTGTCACCAAGGTGGTGATGGCCTGAGCAACAGGAGGGGTGGGCACTTGCAGGAAAGGCAGAGGCCCCAGGGTTTGTCTTTGCAGTGAGGGATTTGGGGGGAGTTGTGGAAGCTGAAAGTGGGAGGGTATTCCTCTGGGCACAGCTGGGTGACCTTGGATGGCCCCACAGTAGGGAGGGTCAAGGAAGGTTGTGTCTCAGCATCAGTGGCCTAGCAGGGCTGCTGGTACTGGTGTCCTCAGCTCTGAAGGGCCCTGTCCCCTCAGGAGGAAAGCCTGGCTGACAGCTTTTCCGCCTTCTCTGAGTTTGGGCTGCAGCTGCTGCGCCAGCTTCGAGATTACTTCCCTGCCACCAACAGCAGGGCAGTCTGCCGTCTGGAGCTGCTGCTAAAGTGCGTGCAACTGCTGTGTAGGGGGTGGGGCAAAGCTGGCAGGGCAGGCTCCTAGTCAGTAGGCTGCCTCTGCCCAGGTGTCTCAGCAAGCTGCAACTCTTCCAACCCTCCTTCGAGATCTGTCCCTTTGAGACAGAACTGAACATGGACATTGCTGCTGCCTTAAAGGTGTGTTTGGAGGCCCGTTCTGGGCCAGTCTCTTGGGCCCTGCCCTCTCCTCCCCTCTCCCATGGGGCTAGCTCCAGACCTGTCACAACTCTCCCTCCTCCCTCTGACCCACTATGCTGCCTTTGGTGGCTTCTGTTGCAGAGAGGCAACCGCGAGTGGTATGACAGAATCCTGAACACCAAGAGTCCTCGAGAACAGGTATGGCTGGGGACGGGAGCTTGGCTTTATTGGGTGAAGGTGGGCTGAGAGGTCAGTACAAGCTGGGCTTCCTTGCAGCCTGGGTCCCAGCGCCTGCCTGGGCTCATCGAGCTAGCTGATGCTGTCTACAATGACCTGCAGTCCTGCTTCAGCATCTATGCCAGCCTATTCCACAGGTAGGTCTGGGTGCTGGGGTGTAGGGGCAGGTGGGGACCAGCAGGGCCTGCTGGCAGGAAGAGTGGCTGAGATGTGTCCTTTACAGCATCCTCAAGGTGGACTTCTTCACCCTGACATTCCGGCAGCTGGAACGTCTGGTGAGGAGTCTCTAGGCACAACCCCAGTGCCTACTGCATGTCCTAGGCAGGGGCAGGAGGGGCCTGGGTTTCCTTGTTGTCTGACTCCGTTCTTCTGGGCAGGTGGCTGAGGAGGCCTGGGTCCTGACAGAGGAGCTGAGCCCCAAAATGACCCTTGAGATAGCCTCGGGGATCTTTGAGCTCTACTTGACTCTGGCAGACATTCAGCGGTTCTGGGGCAGCATCCCTGGTCGGTGGGTGCGCCCTCCCCCTGCTACCAAGACCCTGAAGATAGGCTCTGGGACCAGCACCATGGTGCTATAAGGGAGGTGCTTCTGGGTGGTCCCTGGGCTGTGAGCTGGAACAGGCAGGTTTTAGGTGTCTGAGTCAAGGACAAGCCTTGACTAACCTCCCAACACAGGGACAGCCGCTCCCTGGCCCTTGCCGGCATCCACACCCCATTCTTGCCTGCTGTGAAGCTCTGGCTGCAGGTGCTGCGGAACCAGACCAAGTGGCGGCTTCAGGGAGCTGTGGACGTGGACACAGTGAGTCCCCAGACCTGAGAACACTGGGGCATGTGTGGGCCTCCCAGCAACACAGGCCTCCCAGCAACCTAGGCCTCCTGCCTTCCCAGCTGGAGCCCACGGACACTGCCACCAAGCACAGCAGCTCTGCAGCCACTGCTAGCCTCTGCTTCAGCCACATCCAGGAGCTCTGGGTCCGCCTGGCATGGCCCGACCTGGCCCAGGCCCAGGTGCTGGGCACCCAGCTCAGCCAGGTGCGTGGGTGCTGAGGGGGCAAGAACAGGCCAGGTGGTATTGGGGTAAGGGTAGCAGGCCCAGCAGAGGGGGCCAACGGTTCCCAGCCCCTTTCCCGCTCCAGGATATGTGTGAGGCTGTCCTTTTTTACACGGAGCTGCTTCGGAAGAAAGTAGACACTCAGCACAAGGCGGCTGGTGAGACAGTCAGTGAGCCGGTAAGAGTCTGGGCGGTGGGGCAGGCAGGAAAGAGGCTGGGTGGGCTTGCCCTGCTCTGGGCCCCAGGCCCATCCACCTCCCCTCACACTTTCCCTAGCTCTGCGTGGTCCTCAACAATGTGGAGCTTGTGCGCAAGGCTGCAGGGCAGGCCCTGAAGGGCCTGGTATGGCCAGAGGGGCCTATGGGGCAGGAGGGGGTGCTGCCACGGCCCCTGCTCAGCTGCACACAGGTGCTGGATGAGGACCTGCAGCGGGAGGCCCACACTGTGACAGCACACCTAACCTCCAAGGTGGGCAGACAGGGCAGGGCCTGGGTGTAGAGGCTGTGCCTGTTGCCCTTGCCCATGCTGAGTGCCCCCTTCCTTCAGATGGTGGGTGACATTCGGAAGTACGTGCAGCACATCAGCCTCTCTCCCGACTCCATTCAAAATGAGGAGGTGACTGCCAGGCCCAGGGCAGAGTGGGGGAGGTGTGGGTAGGGGCAGGTGGAGTCCCAGGGACAGGCCATCCCTGAGGACCCCTGTCCACAGGCTGTCGCCCCACTCATGAAGTACCTGGATGAGAAGCTGGCCCTACTGAGTGCCTCACTGGCGAAGGAGAACCTCAACAGGTATGGCTAAGTGGGTGGCCATGTGGGCAGAGGGACAGGTGGCCACAGGTCCTGACACCGTGTCCTGCAGGGTTCTAGAGGCCCTCTGGGAGCTCCTCCTCCAGGCCATCCTGCAGGCATTGGGCACAAACCACGACGTCTCTGCTGACTTCTATGGCCGCTTCCACTTCACACTGCAGGTGAGGCCATGTGGAGGTACCTTTGCCAGCAGCCCTTCTCTGAGTCCTTGCGGCCCCTGCTGCTTGCCCATACACCCCTGCTGGGAGTTGGGGGTCAGCTACTACAGTACTTTCCCCTAGCAGGGCCCAGTTGTCTAGCCTTACTTCTGATGCCTGGTGTGGGAAATGGTTCTGCCTTGGTGCTGCTTAGAGTCGCACCTGTCCCTGTCCCAGCCCCACTGTCCCCCTGTACAACCAAGCTTTCTGAGGTCTCCTTTTCCTGCTCAGGCCCTGGTCAGTTTTTTCCATGCTGAGGGCCAAGGTCTGACCCTTGAGAGCCTGAGGGACGGCAGCTACAAGGTGAGGCCAGACTCTTCTTGGGGGCGTTGAGGGACCTGAGCTCAAACCACTGCTGCACTAGCCATGGCCTGGAAGATGAAATGGCCCTCCAGGTGGCCATGAGGAGTAAGATCCTCTTCCAACACCACTGCAGAGGCTGGAGGAGGAGCTGCGGCTGCACAGGTGCTCCGCCCGGGAGTGCATCGAGCAGTTTTACCTGGACAAGCTCAAACAGGTAGAGGCCGCTGCAGATACATGCCCTGCCCCAGGAACCCCAGTCCCGCTCACTGGCCTTTCCACAGCGGCCACTGGAACAGAAGCGGTTTGGCCGCCTGAGTGTCCGCTGCCATTACGAGGTGGCCGAACAGCGGCTGGTGGTGGAGGTGCTGCACGCAGCTGACCTGCTCCCCTTGGATGCCAATGGTGAGGTGCAGTGGTGGTTGGGTGGGTGCAGAGAGCAGGGCAGGCCAGCTCATGACTGTGCCCCACCAGGCCTGAGTGACCCCTTTGTGATTGTGGAGCTGGGCCCACCACACCACTTTCCGCTGATCCGCAGCCAGAGGACCCAGGTCAAGGCCCGGACACTGCACCCTGTCTATGATGAACTCTTCCATTTGTGAGTGCCCTGCACTACCTGAGCCCTGGCCCCATGTGCCCTGAGTAGGGCTCAGGTGATAGGCCTCTGTCTGCAGCTCTGTGCCCGCAGAGGCATGCCGCCGCCGTGGAGCCTGTGTGCTGTTCACAGTCATGGACCATGATTGGCTGTCCACCAACGACTTTGCAGGGGAGGCAGCCCTCAGCCTGGGTGGCATCAGTGGAATTGCACGGCCCCAGGTGGGAGGGGCCTCGAGGGCTCTGCAGCCTGTCACCCTGCACCTGTGCCGGCCCCGAGCCCAGGGTGAGTGAGTATCTAGGGCAGCTGTTCTCAACCTGTGGGCTGCAACCCCTTTTTAACAATGAAAATGCATTGTGGCATCAGGAAGGTTGAGAACCACTGATATAGGCAGTGGTGGGGGCTGAGGGGCACCCAGGCCTAATACGAGATCCCACACACCTATCCGCCACCTGCAGTGAGATCAGCACTAAGGATGCTGGAAGGACGCAGCAACAAAGAGGCACAAGAATTTGTGAAGAAACTCAAGGAGCTGGAGAAATGCATGGAGGCGGACCCCTAAACCCCCCATCTGCTGGCTGCCAGCTCCGGCCCTCCCATGAATGCTCTGTGGAATCCTGCTCACCCATGGCGAGCTTCGTGCAGCCAGGGCCCATGGCACCCCTCCCTGCTGTGTGATGATGTGTGCACTGTGGCTGGAACCCTGGCTTCTGTCTGCCCTAGCTGTGTCTCTTTGGTGTGTGCTGTGAACTCCTTGCACCCCAGCCCCCAAATCTGTGCAGCCAGATCAGCAGGACCTGGCCAGCTGCCAGATCAGACTATATTGGGCCTGGCTACAGGTGGGCTTCTCCACCCACTACCTGGGGCTCTACAGCCCACAGGTAGGTGAGTGGTCAAGCACCTGATCTTGGTGGCTTTGCTCCCCTAGGGATACCCAGCAATGACATCTTCACCACTGGAGAGTGCAGGGATGTAGGGGGCTATGGGTACAGTGAATAGAGGCTAGGGCACTGCTCAGCATCTTGCTATCAGTCAGCCCCCAGCAGAGACCAGCCCCTACCCAAATGCCAAGAGAGCCTCAGCTAAGAGACCATCTTTTGTCTCTCCTGGGGAGGGCAAGGCCTCCAGAGGCCAACAGGGCAGGAAGGCCTAGGTTGGGTTTGAGCAGCCCAAGCTTTGGAAAGAAGCAGGTCCTGGGACCCAGCTTGCACAGCAGAGGTGAGAGCATGCTGTGTTCAGCAGCCCTCTCCTGGCTCTGGAATCCTCCGCTTGAGTGGATATGGGGAGGAGGTTTGCTAAGTACTATCTGCCTCTACTCCCCATCTGGCTTCTAGGATAGGGAAAGGATCCTGTGGGGTCACTCTATGAGGCCTAGTATGTCAGCCAAGGATAGTGGTCAGTGTAGCTATCTTTTCACATACATGTACATGACCATACAGGACTTACTCCATGGCCCAGACTCTTCTAGCCAGGATCTGCCTCACTAGAGACCAAGAGTCCCTTTCAACCCTCCCCCAGGCTGAGTGCAAAGAAACAGACTCACACTAGGGCTCCTTCCTGGCTTGTAGCTTCATTGCCAGAGCTCCAAGGCAGGACTCAGAGCAAGGCTGTCAGCAGCACTGGGCAAGAAGTTGCAGAGTTCACTTCTCCACAAGGTCAAAACAGCCAGACTTGTCTGTGTTTCCTTGTCTCTAGATTGCCTCGTCATTCAGTCTCTGAAATAATACACACCTGCAACCTTCAGTCTCTCTGTCGTTTCTTGATTCCTTTCCAAATCTTGGTTGGGCCCTTTGTCTCAGCCCCTTGTTCCAGAGTCTCCTCCTCTTTGGAGCAACTGCTGCTGTCTCCTTCTTTCTCAGCATCAGACCCTTGTTCCTCAGGCTCATCACTGCTATTAGTGTCTGGGGGCAGCCTGGAAAGGAGGAATATGTTCTCCAGAGATATCATCCCTGGCCAGCCTGAGGCTATTTTCACCTATAACCTCTCTAGTGCATTCAACTCCCCTTAAGCTGAGGATAAATTACTCTTATTCCCTATATTTTTTCCAAGAGAACATCTACTTTTTTTTTCCAGTTTTTGGCCCGGGCCAGGTTTGAACCCACCACCTCCGGCATATGGGGCCAGCACCCTACTCCTTGAGCCACAGGCACTGCCCCTACTTCCTATTTTTTAGTAAGAAAACCATCCATGCCCATGTAGGAAGAAGGGCAAGGCCAGAGGTTGAGAAGAGCCCTGGATCTGAGTGATCACAAAACTGGGAAACCCCAGGACCTACCTGTTGCTGGCCACAGGCCTGTTGGGGTTTGCAAACTCTCGCCCTGAATCCACGTCAAAGGGGTCTGAACCAAGACAGAAAAGTGACTGTTAAGTGAGTGCAGAGCACAACCAAAGCCCCAACCCCTAAGCTTTTCAAATGGAAGTGGCAGGCCTGAGGGTCAGGGCTCAGGCCCTATCATACCAGGTCTCACCTATCTCTTCCTCCTCAGAGTTCTCCTTGGCACTGGCCAAGAATGCCTGCTCTGCTTGCAACACCTCCTCTGGGCCACTGCAGGCTGCGTATTTGTCCAAGAGCTGACGATTCAGGTCCAAGAATCCCTTGCCCCACTTAAATTTCCGCAGCAAAATGACAGCAAGGTCTGAAAAGCCTGAAGGTGCAAGAAACAGGAAACTCCAAGCTGCTGACAATCACTTCAAGAGTGTACCCTGATCCCCTGGTTGCTGGGTGGTGGTACTGTCCCAGGTAGGTGCAGGGTCCCACCAACCTACAGCCTTGATGGCCCCACCAGTGCCCAGCCTCCACCTCCTTTACTACAATTCCCTCCCCTTTGCCAAGACACACAAACATCCACACTGAGGTTGCCCCCATGCCTCCTGGGTCTCTACCGAGACCTCTTTATTTATTTATTTTTATTTTATTTATTTATTATTTCTTTTTGAGAGAGTCTTACTATGTCACCCTCGGTAAAGTACTATAGTATTACAGCTCACAGCAACCTCCAACTCTTGGGCTCAAGTAATTCTCTTGCATCAGCCTCCCAAGTAGCTGGGACTATAGGCACTTGCCACAACACCCAGCTTTTTTTTTTGCACTTTTTGGCCTGGGCTTGGGTTTGAACCCGCCACCTGCCACCTCTAGCATATGGGGTCAGTGCCCTACTCCTTTGAGCCACAGGCACCGCCCCACCCGACTATTTTTTTTGTTGTTGTAGTTGTCCTTGTTGTTTGGTAGGCCCCAGGTGGGTTCAAACCCACCAGCCCCACTGTATGTGGCCAGAGCCCTAGCCATTCAGCTACAGGCGCAGAGCCAACCTGGATCTCTTTGGACCCCAGATTCTGAGAATGACTTGAGGAGGGTTATTAGGGCAGTGCTGCCTGTGATGATGACAACCCACACACCAGCCCTCATGGGGCAGCTTCTCCATTTTGCCTCCCCCTCAACTACACATGGCAAAAGCTTTAAGTGGGACCTGGCACTGAAACCCTGGTCTGTTCTGACCACCTCCCTATAAATCCCTCACATTCTCCTGGGATGCTCCCACAGAAAGCACAATGGCTGGAGTACAAAAGGACTTCAAGTCAGGCTGGTGTCAGGCCCTAAAACTCACCTACTATGCAGAAAGTGGCAGCAAAAGCTTCCACACAGGAAAGTTTGCAGGGCCGGCCGTAATTCACTGGATTGGCAGCCACCAAGTAGGGGAGCAAACGAGAATGGCTCCCTCGCATCTTCCCAAATGGTGTCTCATCCAATCGGGCCCAGGAGCAGTCGATGACAGCAACCCCAGACTGTGCCACTAGCTGTCTGTTAGGAACAACATAAAGTTAAGTATGTCCCTGCAGACTGGCCTCACTAAGGACACAAGGACATCATTCTCTATCTCCAAAACCCCTTAAGGGCAGCTGTTTGGGGTACCTAGTGCATGCTCATTTATTCACTCAACAAACGTTTACCCTGGGCCCTCCTACACCCCAAGCTCTGCACTAAGCAATGAGAGCAAACTAGACGGACACATTCTCTGCCCACAAACAAACTAGACAGACATATTCTCACCCCACGTAGAGGGTGCTTAAGATACACCTGTACAAATAAGTGAGCCCTGAAAACAACGACGCACTGGAAAGGGGGAGGCTTATTAAGAGCAGATAGGGAAGGCCCCCGCCGCTCCCCAATCCCCAGGGCTCCCACACCTACCTGTCCGCCGGGGACACGTACTGAGCGCCCATTGGGCTGAGGACTAGGCCGCCAAACCTGTGGCCCAGGCGTAGGCAGCGCACCAACCCCAGGCGGGCCAGCTTACGACCCGTGCAGCGCCGGGGATCGCAGTGGCCCAGCTCCCACATGGCCAGCGCACACGGCAGCGCCGCCGGGCCTGGGTCATCCCCGCCCTCAGCCGCCTCTGGCTCTACGGATGCTACGCCGGGAGAGAGGAGGGCAGCGACTCAGCGCGGGCTCCGCAGGCGGCGCTCGCCCCGCGGCCCGCTCACTCCCCCACGCCCCGCTCACCGCGCAGCGCGGCGCCAACCTCCTCGGCAAAAGCCTCCAGGGAGCGGCCGGGGACGTGCCGAGCGCGGCCGCTTTCCCCTCTAGACCCGCGCATTGCCCTCCTGCGGCCCATGACTGGCAGCAGGGTTTCCCAGACCCTGTAGACTCGGGTAGCAACTTTCAGTCGCCGGACAAGCTCGGCGGGTCTTTGCGCGTTCACTGGGAACCACTTCCGGTTCCCATCGCCACGTGACCTGACCGACTTGCACATGACCGCCGCACAGCTATGGCGGCGGACGTGGAGCTGCTCTTGCTGTTCCTCCTTGCGGCGCGCGGTCAGTGGCCCCGCGCGCTCCCCGTGCCCTGTCCCCTGTGCTCCCCAGGCCACCTCTTAACCCACTCCCTCTCCTCAGGGCCCGCGCCCGCAGGTGCAGCCAAGATGAAGGTGGTGGAGGAGCCTAACACTTTCGGGTGAGCAGCCTCCCGGGGCGGCTTGGGCCCTGGACAGCCCAAACCCGTTCCTACCTGACCCTGCCGCTTCCTGTAGGGTGAACAACATGTTCTTGCCCCAGACAAATCGTCTGCAGCCCAAGAGGGAGCCTTCACCCTTGTCTGGTGAGTGCAGAGCCCTGGCGGCGGGCCTGGGGCCGCGGCAAGATCTGGGAGGTGGCCTGGGTGCCTCTGAAGGGAAGGGCGGCCTTGGATGAGGGAGCTTGAAATCGTGCGCGTTGGTTTATCGGCCTTCTAAAACGAGTGATTAAGTGGGCGAGAATATACCACAAGGACCCTATATCCAGTTGAAAGAGTATCTCAAGACTTACTCCTTTATTCCCTTTTATAGAGAATATCGCTGTTAATAGTTTGGTAACTGTCTATGCATATTTAAGGAAGAAACGTGTAAAAATACTAGACGACCATTTTGCTACCTTGTCACTTGGTGTACGTCTTGAATTCTTCATGGAAGGTAGATGAAGGTCTTCATTCTGTTTGCTTGGTGCATGGTCTTCCATTGGACAGCTGTGCATTCCTCTGTTGGCCCCTACTGTACTTAGGTTGTTTACATTTTGGGGCCAGAAGGAGTAGCGTTGTGGAGAACATCATCCCTTTGCAGGCGCCTCACTCTTCCCTGTGAGAGTGGCTTCCCAAACCAAGATCCCAGAAGTGAAGTTGCGGATCATACAGTGTGTTCAGTCTGAACACTGAATGAATATTAAATGTAAGAAAGACCCAAGAATTTTTTTGACGACTTCCTATATGTGTTAGGATCTGTACTGGGGTTGCAGCAGTAAACAATCCAGTGCTTGTTCTCATAGAGCTAAGTGGTAGGGAATCGAGGAATAGGCTAAGAACAAAGGAGTTAAGATATGTAGAATGCTCAGTGATGGAAAATGCTGTGTAGCTAGGTGAAGTAGAGAAGGGTGTGTGTGTTGTTTGGGAATTAGAGTGGTAAGGAGAAGTCTTGAGAGGTGACATTTTGCTTAAAGAGGAAAGAGAGTAAACACTATGGATGTCTGGGGGAGAGGGGTTCTACAAAGGGAGTGGCCAAAGGCCCTGAGCAGGGATGCCAGGGTCAGAGGGTATTGAGCTGAGCTAGAAGGTGAGGTTGGAGATAAGGGGGGTCCAGATAATGCAGCGCCATGTTTGTAGGTTGTTATGTGAACTATGAACAAATGTATTTAAAGTTTTTGTTATGAAAAGTATGAGGTAGGCTGGACTCTGTGGCTCATGCCTATAATCCTAGCACTGTGGGGGGCCAAGATGGAAGGATTGCTTGAAGTCAGAAGTTTGAGACCACCCTGAGCAAGAGTGAGACCCCATCGCATACTAATAGAATAATTAGTGAGTATGGTGGTGCATGCAGGCTGAGACAGGAGGATGCTTGAGCCCAAGAGTTTGAGGTTGCTGCCAGCTAGACTGACACCATGGCACTGTAGGCTGGGTGACAGAATGAGACTCTGTCTAAAAAAAAAGAAAGAAAGAAAACTATGAAGCAGAAAATAGCAAGAATAAGATGGAGAGTACTTGCTCCTCCTCAGCACAGCAAGTAACATTTTGCCGTGTATACTTTATCATCTTTTTTTCAGTTTTCATTTTTATTTTCTGAATCATTTGAAAGTAGATTACAGACATCAGGACTCATAAATTCTTCCATCCCCCTCCAAAAATTAGCAGTAATTCTACAATATAACCAGTGCATATCCTAATTTCTCCCAGAGTGACAAGAAAGCCTTTTACCATTACCTCCACCCCCATTTCCCTACCAGGGCCTGTCAAGCTTCACATGTGCGTTTGAATAATAATGTCTCATTGGTCTTTGAATCTGAAACAGCCTGCCTCCTTTTTTATTTTTTTTTT